TAGAATATTGTGTATTCAGCAGTTATTCCTTTCCTGTCTTTCAGGAATGGCTCCTTAAGGTGGGCCTAACTGCTCTGGAAACTGCTTGATTATGCTAATATGAAAATTTTATAGTGACAATGGCATCTCTTGAACCACAGGAGCCGTAGCTAATACACTTGTTCAGTTGGTGTCAAGATGTGGGATAAAGAAGTGGTCTGAATGGCTTTAAGATAAAAATTCGAGAGCTGTTAGGTAATTCTAGCATGTGGGAGACATTACTGTAAATCCAAGCAGAATGAGATGCCTAACTACTTGGGCATGTGTGAGGGGTTAATTTAAGTACCCATCTTTTGTGTCTTCCATTTGGCTCTAGGTAATTCTTCACAGACCCAGGCCAAGGGTTTTACTGGGTGTTACATAGAAGCTACAAACAAAGTCTTAAAATGCTTACATTTACTTAGAGTCACAAGCAAACCAGTTCATACTCATATTTCTGCTCAGTGCTTGGTTAACATTCAGGCTTGTATTTTATTTATGCAGTCTTAAAATCATGCCATGGATGACATCAGAGCTAGGGTAATTTAAGAAATGGGAACATGTGTCTACAGTTTGTTTCAGCTGGCAAAGAGATGATGTTCTGAGATGGGGAGACTTAAAATTTTGCACCACAAGTAAACTACTCCATCTGGGAAATTGGATCTATTAATCCTATGTCATTTACACCTGAAAGCTACTACGAACTGATTTCTGTGGCCTACAGCTTCTACTACAACTTTTTCTGCAGCCTCTGTGAAATCAGAAACACTGGACCAGTGCCCAACTGACAGGTGGCCACCAAGTTATCAGCTTGTTCCCTGCTCTTGATAAGTGTTTCATTCGGGATGGTTTTGGGAAGAAAGGTGAATTTGTTTCTTACCAGGAAGGAAATCCTCTAACATGGAGGCTGAGCCACACAAACAAGGTCTTGTTAAATAAGCCTTTCGATTTTACCGTTTTCTGTAGTATTTTGCTTGAAAAATATGTTGCTGTTCTATTATGAGCTTTTATCTGAAGAAAATCACATTCATTAGGTTTGGATTTAGAAAAGAATTTATCTAGTTTATCTGGAGGAGATAGGTGCTCAAAAGATATATAGTTCTATGGGATTGAAAATGTCTTTGCTAAGACTCTGTAGCTTCTGTAGGTAGGACATTAAAGACATGACTTAAATACTCTTTTGAAATATTGTGTGGAAGCCTTCTCTTTTATAAATTCAACCCTTATCACATATTAAATGCAAAGAGTGCTTGGGAACACAGAGCATGTTCCAAAGGGATGCATAAAAATCACCCCCCGTAAGTTATTAGCATCCAGCATTTGTGTTTTTAATGAGCTGCAATGAGAAATCTTGTAAACTAATTTGAACAAACTACATTGTCTTAGTGAGAGCAAGATGTCTCAAACATCAATCAGCTCTTGAAAGTTTGTTTGTGAGATACTTCTCTAAAAATCTTTCATCCTAAATCTGACACTTGAAAACTCAGCAGTAGATCTTGGCAATATTCACATATAAATGCCCCAGAGATAAGTGGTGCACTTTTTTACTGGGGAAGGTGGTATAAATATTCCAGGACTAAACAAAGCTCACCTGCTCATTAAAAGGTACTGAAACCTGACTATTTTACATACTGTTTTGTAAATGAGAGTTCCTGAAACACACCTTTATTTTCAAACCTTCTCTGAAAAACCTCTGGGGATAAGCAAGGTTTGGTATGACAAAGAAAACATTTTATTCAGCTTTAGGAGCTGGAACGTCTGCCACAGGAGAGTGTTACCTGTGATGCCCTCACATCGCACCACCAGCAGAGCTGCTATTCTTGTAGCAGCAGCAGTAGTAGTAGTAGTAGTAGTAGTAGTAGTAGTAGCAGCAGTATTTTTAGTTTTAAATTGAAATCTGCCTAAAGCCACAGATAAGTCCTCAGCATACTGCTCTCTGAGCAAGGATGCAAATCTGAATTGAAACTTTCCTTGAGAAGCCTCTCTAAAGGTTGGTTCTCCACTTGGAATGAGTGAAGCACCTTTGACTTGAGGAAGACAAGTGCTGCAGATATTTGCACTCTAAAATGTTGGATAAGTTATGCCAGAGAAAGAGACAAAGAAAGAGATTGAAGCCAGATCACTGCCTGTTTATTTCTTTGGCAGGCAAGGGTCTTCATGTATCTGAATACAATAATATTAGGGGCTTTTGCATCTTAAGAATCTCTGTCACATAAATTCAGGTTGGTGAATCAGCATAGCTGTTCACTTTCCATGTGTTAAAATACATGCCTGACTTAATTTTGCCAGTAAAAGCAGAATTGAGCAGATTATACAATGAAGAAGTTACCCATACTAAATGGATGATTGGAAATTTGGTTGTTCAGACATCTTACGGTAACCAAATATGCAGACAGATATTTCAGGAGATACAAAATTTTCCTGGTGTCCCTTGAAGTAAAACCAAGTATGCAGAGTAAACCATGCCTATTTTTGGTGGTATATCCTGTACAACAATCGTGAATAATTATATATGTCAGTACTTATGGGAAGCAATGTACACTCATAGTCAAAATAAGAGCTTAGACACCAAACATTCTCCTGTTTACTGGGCTTTCAGGACCTTGTTTAATATGAAGAGCTGGAATGTATAGAACTCTGCCTAGGGAATGGACTGTGAGCCAGCTGAGTGTGCTTGGGTATCAGTCACTTAGTTCTGGGTGATGTTGTAGCAGGTGTAAACTACAGGTGTCATAAGCAGGAAGAACAAATGGAAAAGATCTTCTGTAGACTGAAGACAGATCTTGCAGGCTGTGGTTCTCCTGGAGAAACTTTACCCACCTGATATCCACCAGGTGGGTAAAGGAACAACACAGATATATGCAGTCCTGGAGGTTCGTGGATGGTATTTCCTGATGTAAATGATAGAGGATTGAGTGGGGAGAGGCGTTCTGCTGGACCTCATAATTACAAATGAGGAAGGCTGAGGATGTGAAAATTGAAATCAGTCTTGGCTGCAGTGGCCATGAGATAGTGGAGTTCAGAATCCTGAGAAGAGTAAGTAGGGCAAAAAGCAAGCTCATGACCCTGGATATCAGGAGAGTAAGGATCATGACCCTGGACATCAGGACACTGGCCTTGCAGGGAGACTGTTCATGCAGACTCCTGTGGAATAAGGCCCTGAATGGAAAAGAGGCCCAAGAAAGCTGTTTGATATTCAAGGATTATGTCCTCCAAGGTCAAGAACAGTCTATTGCAACAAGCAGAAAGTCAGGCAAAAATATCAGGAGGATTATATGAGTTAACAAGGAGTCCCTGGCAAAACTCAAACATAAAAAGGATAGAAACTGTCTGAACCTGCAGAAATTATGTTAGGAAAGCCAAAATCTGTCTAGAATTGAATTTACTGGGGGATGTGAAAGGTACCAAGAGGACTTCTCACAGTACATAATTAGCAAAAGAAGACTAGGGAAAATACATATCTGCTGCTGAATGGGGCAAGAGCCCTGGTGACACAAGATGTGGGAGAGGCTGAGTCACTGAGTGTGCCATCCTCTCCTCAGTCTTTTCCAGGAAGACCTCCCTTCAGAAATCTGAAGACTGAGAGACCAAGGGGGAAGACTGGAGCAAAGAAGTCTTACCCTTAATGGAATACGTTCAGGTTAGAAAATAATTAATCAAAGTGGACATATGTAAGTCCATGGGCTCCAATCAGATCTGAGGGAACTGGCATCATTGAGACACCACTCGTGATAATCTTTGAATGACATGGTCACTAGCAGTGTCTGAGGACTGGGGAAAGCAAGTGTCATTTTGTCTCCAGAAAGGGCAAGAAGGAGGACCCCAGGAACTACTGGCCAGCTACAGCCTCAATTCCTTTGCATGTGATGGAGCAGCTAATCCTGGAAAAAATTTCCAGGCATATAAGGGACAAGTCACCACCCCAGGGAGTCATGCTTGACCATTTGATAGCCTTCTATAATGAAATGACTGCTGTGTTAGATGAGGTAGTGGATATTGTCTGCCTCAGTTTCTGTAAGGCTTTTGACCCCGGCTCTCACAAGATTGTCATCCAGAAGGTGATGAAGTGTAGGTTGGCTGAACAGAAAGTGAGCTGGGATGAAAACTGGAGAGTCCAACAAAGGACCACTAAGGGAAATTTGTCAGCACATAAAATACTTGAAATGAAGGTGAAAAGAAGACAGAGCCAGGTGGTTGGGAAGTCTCTATCTTTGCAGGTACTCAACAGTCATCTTAACATGGTAATGGGCAGCTAGTTTTAGGTGGCCCTCCTTGAGTAGGGGGGTTGAACCACGTGACCTCCAGAGGTCCTTTTCAACTTCAGCCAAGCTATTACTCAGTGAATTTACCATGCTTTCATTTTGGAGATGAAGACAGATACAATACATAAATAAATAAATCTAATTCATACTTGCAACCCAATCACTGAATCATAAAATATAAAATGAAAGCGAGGAAAAGAACTGCAGAAAGTCAAGACACTGCTACAAGTAGGGTTGTACTCTGACAACTACATAGTTTAATTTTTCACTTTGGACTCACTTTGAGTAAGTAAAATGGCTGAACAGTATCCAAAATGATGGGGAATTAAACAGACACATGAAAGGTGTATTCATTTCTCTGTAACGGAAGGAGAATATGTCCAATGTGTACTAGAGGCCAGAGAGAAGAGACAATACTTCCTGGAAGGTCTTGGTGTTGCTTCAGGAGTTCTTACCTGTTATAGAGATTTGGCAGAGCCACTGCTGTAGGCACACAGTTTGTGTTAATTGGGAGTGGGGCTGTGGTGGAGCCTCATCCCCAATGGGCTGCAGCTGTGCAGGACAGGTGAGCAGCACTGACGGTAACGGGACATGGAGTGCCCATGTGTGCTGACCAATCACCAAAGGGCACAGAGGGCACACAGGTGTAGGGCATGTAAGGTGAAGGGTATCAAAGGTTGGACTGAAGAGCTACAAAGAGCAGATGCTTTGAAGCCTTCTGAAATTGTATGGCGATATTCTGTGTATTGTGGCTATTTTGACTGTGATGTATGTCATGATGCTATGCTGACAGAGCCACCCTTGCTGCTTCCCAACCTAGGAGCTCCACACTGGATTCTGGAGAAATTCTGGAGGTGGGGCAGAAAGCTGTCACGTTCACTTCCTCCATTTAAGGTACTGCTAGATACTGTTTCCAAAGTATTTTATTCCATGTTTTCCTTTTCAGAGGAAGAAGTTCACTGACTGTTGCCAGAGTAAGATTTGTGTAGCCATATTGAGTTGAACTGCATAAGTTTGCAGTCATCTGCAAAGAAGGCCTCAGACCTTAGGCTAGGTGAAGTGGTTAGGTGCAGGTGGGGATCAGTCTGAGTCCTGTGAGAAGTGAATTTAAACATCTACCTCAGTCCTGTAGAGCAGGGAATGTAGAAATGAACTTCTCAAAACATTGTGGAACAAAAGAGGGGCACTTGAAAAGGATTTTCCAAGGAGCCTATCTTCCTTTGCATTGAATTGTGAAGTCAATAGCTCCTTGCTCCTCGATGTGCTGGCCAAAAATAGTCTCTATTTAGAGCTAGGGGAAGTTGATAGAAACAGTTAACATGTGCCCAGGCTTTTTTTATCTGCCTGACTGTAAACATCCGTGGATATTAGCACAGTTTGTCTATATTTTTCCAATTACCATGGAAGTGAGCATTGCTGCAGTGTAAGCATTTTCATCTATTTGTCTTTTGAGTAAACCCAAGAAAAATAACCAATACCAGAACATTGAAAACATTGCAAAATCACTAAGTGTTACAGCTCATACAGCTGTCCACTTTGACCTATTGTAATACCATAAGTAAAATTCTCAGTATTTTGCAGGTTTAATTTACCTAGTTTCATTATCTTTTTAATCAAATGATACTTCATATGTGGGGTTTTTTGTTGGTTTTTTTTTTACATGTGCAATATGAATGTGATTGGAAGGGTTGCAGCTTTCTATCCAGTGAGTGTGACTTTATACACAGAACAGCTCAAATATACTTACAAGTATGGACAAAGTCACCAAATAATTTTCTATCCATGTGACCAACAGGGCTGAATCAGCTATCACTGTATCACTGTGCTTGATGAGTGGAGCTTCAGCTTCGCATGCCACATTTTTTCAAAGCATAACGCAGTTTCTATTTCCCTGTTGTTATGATTATATGAGACAATCCCTAGCTTTAGAAAAGGCAGCAGCAAGTTAGGGCATTAAAATTAAAGGGGAAAAAAATCTACACAAACCACTTAAGCACACTCATTATTATGGCCCTTGCTACCTCAGGCCACTGGAGAACTTATAATTTAGTCAGCATTATGCAGTTTGAAGTGTTTTATGTTCTGCATGGGAGCAGGCTGCAATTCAAATATCAGTGGCCATGAAAAATATGCACATACGTTTAGTATGAAAATCTCCAAGGGCATAACAGAAGAGACGGGCACATGTAGCTGCAGTGTGATGGAGAATTTCTGTGAATTAATCATTTGGACATAGTTTATCACCATTTTATATTTTGCCAGAGATGCTTCCTCGCCATTTGTTAGGAAAACTTATTATACATGCACATCTTAGAAAGATAATAAGGCCAAAGCCTTTGATGCTTAAAGGCAACAGCCTTTGTTAGAGTCTGTTATGACACAGACAACTTCTCCACTGACAGAGCCATTCAGATAACAGGAGTAATTGCTTATTTTATCGAGTTTAGGGAATTGTGCTCCATTCTCCCTCCTTGCCTACTACATTAGCTATTATGACCCATCTTCTACCATAATTTAAGGGGAGTGGAGTATGTGCATTTTTAAAGCTTTTCTTGAAAGAATAGAGTGCTGTATTTACATACTTCCTTCATTATTCCACAGGGCCAATATTTTAATGTATTCCTTCCAAGGAAGCAGAGTGGCATGTGTGAGCATGTGTGCATCTCTTTCTGTGCCTAGGTGTTTGTGTGCAGTTTAGTGTCTGAGTGGGTAGGGGAATGAGAAGAGCTTATTTAGTTGTTTCTTTATACCTTCTTCTGACTGGAGACAATACCATTGTAATTGGTATTAGCAAAACTACAAACAGAGCAATCACTCCTGACACTTTAAAAGAACTTTATTGACATCTGCAAACACGAGAGGAATTTTAAAGTAAAACTTTTCTATCTGTAAGACTTGGTCTGATCAAAAGCCTGATAGTAGCTCCAGATGTAACAAATGAGGCTCCAGAAAAGATTCCAGCTATTCCAAAAGGTAGTGTTGCAAGGAGAGGATTAAAAAAAAAAAAAGCAACAACTTTCAAAATTTATGCACCATCCAATGAGTTTAAAAGGTTCAAACCCAATATTTAAGTGTAAGGTTTAATATCAGAAAACGCTACTGTGATTTACAATTTTATTACTTAGAACTTAGAAACCCTGGTTTCCTCCAGTATGAGCATGTTCTGGTTCTGGCCAGGACAGGGTTAATTTTGCAGTAGCCAGGAGGGAGCATGGCTAGGACCTAGAGGTTATTCTGTACCTTATTTTGGGGGACAAAGGGAAGGGACTTCCCTTCTGAAAGGAAGGGCTCTCTTGCCATCAGGGTGGCATGCTGGTATTGTGGGCTCCACAGTGAGCACTTTGGCATGAATCACTTTTTTGCACACTTTTGTTATTAATATTGCTGCTGTTACTGTTATTTTCTTTTCTCATTGTTGTTTCCAGGAATTGTTCTTAGCACATTATTCTCTGCCTTTTGTGCCTTCAACTCCCCTCTCAAGTGTACCACAGGAGAGGGGCAGTGGTGTGGATTTTGGTGGAATTACTAAATTGGAGAATCCCATTCCTTAACCACAACAGACCACTATAGCAAAGCCATGTAATCGTCAGAATCTGACTTCTGAAACAACAAAAACCAATACTGATGTTAACAGAAGGACAACTTTCAAATGGAAACTGAAGTGAGTTATACCTCTCCCACTGTATATAAATAGAATAATTTTCCAGAAGTGTAACCAAATATGAAGGCCGGTTCTGAGCAAATTCCAGCAGCAGTTTCATGAAGGAAGAGTTCATGACTTTTTTTTCCTCCTAGCAGGGAGAGGGGCACTTTCACACTCCAGACGCACTTGTTAAGAGGCTGTTACATGTAAGAAAGAACTTTGTGTTCTCTAGCTCTTTTTATTTCCTGATTCATGTGAATGCCCTGTTAAAGTATCTGAACTGACTCAAGTAGCATCCTTGCTATCAGCTGGGAAGACTGGATGCCAGCTTTATTTCCCTGATGCTTGTTCTGGTTTTGTCACCATGAAAAGGTCTGGTTAATACATCCACCTTTGTGTTTGTCATATTTAAATGTACAGCCAGATTCTCTGTTTTGCAAGGACATTTTCTTCATCTTTTGAAGTCACTCCATGAGACTGGTAACAAATGATAGCTTGCCAGCTATGGAGTGGGTATTAAAAATGAATTTTTCATAGCAGACACTCATGCAATTGTCTTGTGGCTGACTGAGGGGACACAAGTGTGTTCTGCATCTCAGTGGAGCAGCTGGCAAGATAGTGTCTGGATTAATGTGCTCTGCTCTGATTAGCTCCATAAAGACACAATTGGTCTATGCAGAAGGCTATGCTGGATTAATGAAATACACCTTTTCCAGGAGAGTCTCTCTGCATAGCACTGGTTCCTGTAGATGGACCAACTCATTTGGGACAGCCTATTTATGACTAAACCATCACCATTGTGCTTGTTGCCCTGTCATTTTTGACTGTAGGTTGAGAATGACATAACATTTCTGAAGATTTTATATCCTTGGCAAAACTAAGGAGATCTAATCACCATGTACTCAAGCAATTTCATGAAACTGAGGGAAAGACAGTAGAAATTTGACACTTCCTTTCACAGACATTCCATCCCTATTTTTCTTTATAGGGTAGTCACTTCATTTCCTGCAATGATACCTGCTACTCTCTACATCTCCATGATAATTTTGACCGCAGGGCTGTTGGATCAGGAATGTGGTGGGATTCACAGGTAGGTTTGGGCTGTCTCCAAAGGGCTGTCCTACTGCTACCCTCAAGTCAGTTGTATGTACAGATGGGTGACCCTGCAAATGGACCTCAGCTGCCCAGCAGCTCAGCACCCAGATACACAATGCTGGGCACGTGCAGTGACTGACAGGCAGGATGTGCCAGTCTTGCCAAGCGTGCAGGCTCTGAGTGTGCAGCACATCTGACACACTCTGGATTCACTGAGCTTTCCCCATGTGCCCAGAGTGTCTCCTCTGCACCTGACTAGTAAATCCAGGTTGCCATGCATACACACAGTAGTCATTTATGATGGAATTTTGGGCATTTGGCAAGTAGTTCAAGCTACTGCCTCTGCTTTGTAGTCCAGGATAAATGTCCAAAAATCCCTTTTTTCCTGTGGGACCAGTGGAAACTGCTACCAGTTGAACAAGGCGTTGTATCTGGGGTAGATCAGGCATGTGGCATCTGCACAGGAGGTTAGCAGATCATCACACAGGAAGGGTGACTGAGAGCTGCTCCTCAAGAAAGCTGGACACAGCTGTTGATGAGAGAATATGCTCTCATGTATTGAGATCAGACTGTGTTTGGTCCTGTTGCTTCTTCACAAAACTCTGAAAGACCCTCTCTGTGGTACACTCTGTATTACATTGCTGTCTCCCCTGCTTCATCTCCTAGGGAGTCCAGTCATTCAAGTCTTACATAGAAACAGCACTGGTGCTTTTTAGGTTTGCTAAGACTTCTGTATCAGGATGTCCTTTTACAGCAAAGCTGCTTCAGGATTGTCTGAAGCGTTGGTAATGTTTTATTGCAGCTACTCTTGAGTTGCCTGAAGATATCTGGAGCACATGCTTCACTGTTTAAGCTTTCCTCTTTTCCACTTCCCACTCCAGTTTGCCTCCCCATCTCCTTTCATGTTGCTTTCAATACATACTGGTTCCTGTTTGTGTTTATGGCTGGTAGTGAGAGTAAATGAGTAGCAGTAAATGAATTGATTCAAGTAGCAAGCAGTGTGTGACTTGCCAGAGTCAACCTTTCCCAGGCTTTCCCAGACAAGGTCAGGGAGAAATGGGCAGAACTTTTGATGGATAATCCAGGAGAGTATGTCCTTTTGCAGTGCTGAGCTCTGTTTCAGGGCGCTTGCAGCCCTTGGTCTTTGTCTTACTTT